GTTTAAAAAAATATCATTTTATGACAATTTTATGTTACTTCAAAACATCTTTGGTTACATTCGTGCAAAGAATTACGTTAAAATCAATGTTTTCAAAAGAGGCATACAAAGTGTAGCTAGAGTTCCTGTGTCTGTAGTATATTTATTTACTTTTATACTCGCAATAAAATCTTTTTTCCTTCGATAACTAATCGTTGTATGTAAACCTTGTTTAATTGAGATTCAGGAATTAATTTTTCTAGAGATAAAAATTGGCAAATGGTCGGCACTCATCCCATTATCTAGCACGCCTGATTTAATAACATTATCTTCCTTAGAGGTTAAGTCAATATATAAACTTTGCTGTGGGTGGAAAGCGATCGGATTCAACCTCCTTCCCCGGCAGGGTATTCGCTCTTGATTGGATTAAGGGTTGTGCCAGGCTATTATTTGCAAAATAGAGCCTGATACTCAGCTTAGGCTAGCATCGCTTGAGTGCAGGCCATAGCTTCAGCGAAACAGGAAACCCCCTGTTCCAGGGAAGAGTTTCCCCTTAGGACTTCTCAAATAATTCTTCACCAAGTTTAAGATAATCTCGAATTTTGACTTGAACTGAACACATTTTTGTCAACTGTATATTTAGTCTGATGATGTCGCTTGCAACATGTGACGTTACTTAATAAATATTTTTTTATATACCAAATGTTTTTTTGAATATGCCTCTTTTACGAATTATTTGCTGGGCAATAATATTTTTAACTAGGATCCGCCTTGTGTTTCTATTGCTGATACGTTTTTGTTAATTTGCAGAAACTTTGAACATTTAATTTTTGTAAAAAACCATGGGCTAACCAACCAGGACATTCAAATGCCTACACCTCAAAGTCACATACCTGCAATTCTCAGTGACAATTCTTCAATTGCATTCCTCGCCCTATTTCCTTTTTGTTTATTTTCTAGTTCCTTTGCAATATCCAAGGCTTGCTCGTAGTATTTAATTGCCGTTTCAAGCTGATTGTTCAATCTATAAACCAATCCTAACCTAAGGTATGCCGTTGTCTCCTGATTTTGATCTTTTCGTTCTTTTGCAATTTCCAAGGCTTGCTCGTAGTATTTAATTGCCGTTTCAAACTGATTGTTCAATCTATAAACATGTCCTAACCCAAGGTATGCCCTTGTCTCCTGCAGTCGATCTTTTCGTTCTTTTGCAATTTCCAAGGCTTGCTCGTAGTATTTAATTGCCGTTTCAAACTGATTGTTCAATCTATAAACAAATCCTAACCCAAGGTATGCCGTTGTCTCCCCAACTTGATCTTTTCTTTCTTTTGCAATTTCCAAGGCTTGCTCCCAGTATTTAATTGCCGTTTCAAACTGATTGTTCAATATATAAACACCTCCTAACCCAAGGTATGCCCTTGTCTCCTGCAGTTGATCTTTTCGCTCTTTTGCAATTTCCAAGGCTTGCTCATAGTATTTAATTGCCGTTTCAAACTTCTTGTTCAATCTATAAATATATCCTAACCCAAGGTATGCCCTTGTCTCCTGATCTTGATCTTTTCGTTCTTTTGCAATTTCCAAGGCTTGCTCGTAGTATTTAATTGCCGTTTCAAGCTGATTGTTCAATCTATAAACATCTCCTAACCCAAGGTATGCCGTTGTCTCCTGCAGTTGATCTTTTCGTTCTTTTGCAATTTCCAAGGCTTGCTCATAGTATTTAATTGCCGTTTCAAGCTGATTGTTCAATCTATAAACATCTCTTAACCCAAGGTATGCCCTTGTCTCCTGCAGTTGATCTTTTCGTTCTTTTGCAATTGCCAAGGCTTGTTCGTAGTATTTAATTGCCGTTTCAAGCTGATTGTTCAATCTATAAACTTTTCCTAACCCAAGGTATGCCCTTGTCTCCTGCAGTTGATATTTTCGTTCTTTTGCAATTTCGAAGGCTTGCTCGTAGTATTTAATTGCCGTTTCAAA